TAAAAGTCAGTTCAGAATAAACTATATGAATACAGTAAATTTAAAGCTTCTGAATATCTACCCTTTTGCAATGTGGTTTTGCAGCTTTTCCCATCAAAAAGTAGAATCTATTCTCCTGCCTTTAATCTGGGTGAGGTTTGTGATTTGCTTTTGTTCACAAGAATATGGCAGAAGTGATATTTGCCAGTCCCTAACCTAAAGCTCTGCAGGTCCCACACACTTCCATTCTTTCTCAGGACTCTGCCACCATGGGATCAAGCCCAGGCTACCTTGCTTGAGAATGAGAAACGATGTTGTTCTGGTCCAGGTCATCCATATAGCTAGTTGACCTTCAAACATGAGAGAGCCTGGCCAAGATTAGCAGAGACACCCACCTACCCTCAGTTAATTACCAATGCACAGCGGAGCCTGCTAGAGACCAGAGAAACCCTCAGTTCAACCACAGATTCAAAATCACTAATAGGTACACACTGTTACAAGTCACTGAGTTTCTGGGATGATTTGTTATGCAGCGGTAGCTAATGAACATAGTAACTTTCAGTAAATCTGAGATGTTCTCCGAGTCCCAGTTTCTCATTGGAAAAATTAACCAACAAGATATATTCCTGCCTTAGGGAAGATTTTGAGATGTTATATCCACATCAATTTCAGCAAATGCATTTTAAGATCTTACTCTATGCCGAGCCTTGATCTAGATCCTGTGGACTCACAGGACAGTTTGACTGTTGTAGCTCAAAACTGGGGGCTCCTCCTTCCAGCCACAGGCCAACCTCCAATAAGTTGGGGTGCAGAATCCTCCTTAAATGGCAGTGGACAAAGGAGACATTGACAGGTTGACCTGAAAGGCTGCAAGCAATGGACCAGATATTTTCTGATTGTCCTATCTCCTGGACTCACGAACTCACTTAAGTTAATAAACAGCTCTTCCTTATTTTTAACTGAGTTCTAGGGACAGACAAGGACACTACTTCATCTTTTCAGTACACACTTACGCAGGACCAAAAACACGGATGTCACACAGTTCATATTGGCAAAGTGAGGGCTCTTGGATTCTAGTAAGGGAGGGAGGGACGGAAACAAATCATGGTGGCACGTGGGTGCTGTCTTTCCCTCAGTTCCCACATTCAATCCAGTGTTAGTCCAGGGGCTCTACCTCCAAAGAAACCTCAATTCTACCTTCCTCTTCCAATTCCATGCTATTTCCTTGATTCGAGATGGTGTCATTTCTCACCATGGCCCCCAGCTGATATCTATGCAGCAGATGGGCTGTTCTTTTAAAGATCAGATCACATCCTTCTCTTGCTCAGATGACCCCCTCCCCAGCAGGTCTTAGACTAAGACCCAAATGTTTTATCCCAGCCATGTATGAAGCAGAAGTTTCTCAGTGCTCCGACTCTGTCCCTTGATTTTCTAATCCCACCTCACTCTGCTCCAGGCTCACACCCCTGGCTTCCATTCCTCCAGAATTTCCAGCTTGGTCCGACTTTGGTATCACCCCACTTTTGCTTCATCTCTCTTCCCCTGTATCTCTGTGAATGTTACCGGGTGAATGGTTTTCTCTTCATTCAGGTAGCAAGTTCATGGTCTCTTTTATAAACCACGCTTCCCTGGCCGCTCTAGTAGAAGTTTCCTTCCCATTGCTACAGTCTACACATCACACACGGCATCATCTCTTATTCCTTGAGGACAGGAATCTTGTCTGGTTTGTTTATTCCCGAGTTTCTGTTACATACAACAGTGTCTGGTGTATAACTGGCAAGACATCATATTCAATAAATGTTTGTTGAAGAAAATGAATGAGCACTCAGGGATGAGAAGTTACCGAGAATGAATCTATCATCTTTCTGGCACTATAATGAAATACCTGAGGCATTAATTAACTTACAAAGAGTAAAGGTTTATTTTGGCCCGTGGTTTTGGAGGTCATGACTAAGAGGCTCCATTCTTCGGGCATTTGATAAGGCAGCACACTGGGGCTGGAGTGTGTGGTGAAGCAAAACCATCTGCCTCACGGCCCAGAAAGTGAAAGAGCCAGGAAAAGGAAGAAACTAAGGTCTCGCAAGCCCCTTCAGGGACACGCCCCAGTATCTCAAGCATCTCTCACAGCAACCTTTGCAGGACACTCATCTGAACCGTAGCAGAGAGGAGTGTCTAACTCAGCACCCAAGACAGAGCCTCTTCCTTTGCTAAGAATTCCACCTTACTCCTTTCTAATTGTCTTGCTTCAGCTGTCTACCAAATGCAGCTGGGAAGCAAAGTCCCAGATCTCCTAAATGCTTGCAGAATCTGTATCCTGCCAGGATCGGCTGTGGAAGGGTGGGGGTGTATTTGCCACTGACTGTGTGTAACTTAACTTTGATATGGCTAAATCATGGCTTCTGGTTCAACATTTTCCTCGTGTCTGTTGCAGAGATATTTATTTTTCTGAAGGCATCTGCAGTAACAGGCACCAGTGGCTTCAGAGGAAAATATGCCATTTACTTCAAGAGTGGACCAAGAACTGGGCCCATTCAGAGGCCCCAATTGTCAGCTTCTGTTAGCAGAAATTCAGCAACTTAGTACGTAGTGTGCTGCTTAGTGCCACCGAACATCTGGCAGAACAGGCGAGGAGGAAAGCAGTTAGAGTGTTATTCTTTTTAGCATCGTGTTAAATTGGCCATGAAGCCAGAGATGGTGCAATTGAATTATAAGAGGGCTGAAGTATTAAATAAAAATCCAGGAGACAGTCAGGGTGTGTGGCTCAAGGTGGGCTAGACTCTAATAGGAGGTGAAATGGATTTACACAGCAGTAAGTGGAAAAAACAACATCTTCTTTGCTGATAATTTGCCTCATTTAATAGTGGGAGAAGGGTCCATGGGTGGGAGCAGTGTGGTTTGTTTTCCCTCGAAAACACATTTCCTTCTGATGGGGAATTGCTGCTTCCTTAAACATCAGTGGGATTCCGGAATGTGGTCGGGTGGACCATTCTACTGTCCTTTCATGGTTTCTCACTTAGGTTATTCTGTATGTCCTTTCCCACATTTTTCCTTCATGCCCGGCATTGGAACAGGCTAATCCAATCTGATGAAGATGTTAAATCCTAGCTTGTTCTGGAGCTGTGTAAATGTGGCTGGCAGGAGAGATGGACTGCATTTGCCAATTTAAGGGTGGCAGAAAAGCCACTGTCTGTATCACTTTCCCCCCACTACTGGGGAATGAATACAGGGCCTTCACACTGAACTATACCAACAGCCCTTTTAAGTTAAAAAAAATTTTTGAGACAGGGTCTTGCCTAATTGCCCAATTGTTCAGGCTGGCTTGAACACGCAGTCCTCCTGCCTTAGCCTCCCAGAATGCTGGGATTATAGCCGCGTGTCAAAGTGACTGGCTAGAAAGCATCTCATTAAGTACTTTTAAATACTGATTGTGCGCTGAACAACAATAGTTTTGGTTATATTGGGTTAAATACATTATCAGGACCGCTTTCGTTCTCTTGGGCTCAGTTGTCAGATGTGTGGAGCTGTTCTGCCAGACAGGACACGGTGGGGGTGCGGGTGGCAGTGGGGTGGGGTGGAGTTTGGGTGGTGGAGATGGAGACGTGTCCTCACTTCCTGTGCTTCTCACTGTGGACTGGCTTAGAATGGGCGATGTCAAAGACGTGCTGATCTTTCCCATTGCCTGTACCATGGCTCCCAGCATACCTTGTGTTTGTGCAAAAAAAAAAAAAAAAAAAAAAAAAAAAAAAAAAAAAAAAAAAAAAAAGTCTCCAGCCCTTACTCTGCCTCCAGTAAGGGCTTTTTCTGAAGCCCTACCTTGTGATCCCACCTTTGAAAGTTCCAGCTCCCAGGAAAGAGTTAAGGGGTGAGGAGAAAAAGAATCTCGTCTCGCCACACAGAGGTGACTAGAATCCGTTCCTGGGCCTCGGTTTGCTCAGGCCGTAGAGAAGGAAGGGATGGTGATTGAGGTGGGGAAGGATATGCCAGGTCCTAGGAGGGGACCTTCATGGTCATCACTTCACTCACGTCTAACAACCTCATTTCATTCTCATTTTGCGGGTAGGGAAAGGGCTCCTCCGGGGCCGCCAGCTGGCAGGTGCAAGTGTCGGCACTCGGTACGGGGTCTACCTGATTCTGCTGTTGTCCCGGAGTGAACACAGGACACTTTCTGGAGCGTGTAGGAAATCTGTTGGCTTATATTCAGGACTAGGACAGAAGGCAGAGGGAGTTCTAGGCAAGAGACTGGCCCGAGTAGGCTGTGGAGAGAGGTCTGGCGGAGATTCTTTCGGCAGAGCATGTGGTGTCATTGCAAAACATGGCGAATGTTTACATTTTTAAAAGAAAATTGTTACAGTAAAAGCCACGTTGCCATTCATCTCCCCAGAATACTCCCCCTAGCTTTGAACTCACCTACCCCCCTGATTCTTGACACTTTCTGAAGCAGTTCTAGAAGTTCTTCTTCATAAGTGTCTTCGGTCTTGAGCTGCCTGAATGTCCTAAACTGATTAAAAACGTTTACCTTTCCTGGCCATTCTGACCTGGGGGAAGAGTCAGAAGTCACACAGTACCAGGTTTGTTGAATAAGTGTGAATGAGGACACTGCAATGTTTGGATGAGCCTGCTTTTCTATCAGTTGGCCCTTGGCAGTGACATTCACTGTATTTGTTGATCATAACGTGTAAAGCCACTCACAGAAGGAGATTCCCAGAACTGATTCAGAAAGTGAAAAAAATTATTGGGTAAACATGTTTGAAGTGAGGGTGAGTCTTTGGAGGGGGCAGTGTGTCTTTTACTATAATAAATTTTAAAAATTTAAACCATCACCCTGTATTTCAGTTACATCTCATGCAACCAAGAAAGGGATGCTGTTCTCTGCTTCTTACAAGGTTGCTTTCTTGTAAGTCTTCTGTTGAATATTTAGGGTTTAGAGAAACCAAGACCTGGCAAGGACTGGTAGGCACCCCGACAGCCACAGCCTACTTGTCCCTGTCAGGTGTAAGTCATTCCTTGTGGGGCTCACCTACCGGCTTCGTATAAGATCTTTCTTGAGGGTTATTATCTCCCTGTCCGTAGATCTGACACCCTTCATTGGCTTGTCCGGGACCTGATGGGTAGAGAAGTGAGAGAAAAAAAGATGTTAGTGCAATTGTCCCCAATACATTCATCGGTGATGTCTCTGTTGTCTGGCTTTCCGTTATTGAGACTTATAAAGAGACATAAATTTTCTTTTGGAACATGGTTTTAGAGGGTCTAATCCATAATTGGTTGTTTCCATTACTTTGGGCTGATAGTTGAGGCAGCAGATCATGGTGGGAGCAAAAATGCTGACCTCGTGGACAGAAAGCAAAAGAAAGAGAACAGGACCCAGGTCCCACAGTCCCCCTTAAGGAGCACCATTCCCAAAGACCTCCCGAAGGTTCCACCAACTTCCAGCAGCACCACGCTGTGGGCCAATCCTTTAACACATGGGCTTTAGGGTACATTCAAAATCCTACCCATAGCATTGTCTGACCAGGGCTGAGGGACTCTGGGGAGCAGAGCTCCTCTCTCTACCAGGACAGGCCATGTGGCACAGGGGGCACAGCAGAGTCTTTGGGGAGAAGTGAACCTGAGCTCTGATCTTAGTTCTGCCCAATAATTAGGTGTGTGACCTTAGACAAATGATTCCGCCTCTCCCGGCCTCAGTTTCTTTAGTAGAATGGGGAATCATTTTTAGCCTGCTGGGAAGATGAAGTGAATTGCCCAATTCTGACTCATAGCAAGCATATGATAAGTGGAAGTGACTCATAAGCATCATGCTTAAAGAAAAGCAAAATATTAAACCTAAAATCATTATTATTGTTGATGTCATTGGCAACTTAAAGAGTTGAATCTGGTCACAGTAATGATGCAAATGTGCTTTCCTCCCTTTTGTTCCCCCGTGGCAGGATTTTAGGAGTGAATTATTTAAATAATTGTTCATAGGATTCCCCCATTTTCCTCAACTAAACATAGGGGAAACCTTTCAATTCACAACCCTGTCAATCAGAGATTGATATCAGGTCAACATAAATGAGACAATTAGTTACCCATATTTTCATAGAAAAGTTATTTTTCTTAGCTCCCCCTCAACCAGTTAGGAGAAACATTGACCAGAATATTATCTGGATTATTCTGTCTTGAAATTAATTCCTGTATATTGGAGGTTTTTAAAATAAGAAGGTTTGTAAGAAGTTATGGAAAAATAGTCACTCTCACATAATGCTTACGGGAGAATACTTTGTGATAATTTGTTAGGAGGACCATTTACCAATGTATATAAAATGCTTTAGAAGTGAGCTTGCCCACAGATCTAATGTCTGCTGTTGAGTATACTAAATGGGGATCAAGGTTTATCAACAAAGTTGTTTACCATAATGCTACTTATTCCAAACTCTAAATAATTATGATGAATCGGAACCACAGATTAGTATGGAACAATACATTTGAATAGCAAAATAATGAAAAAATATTTATTGATAACTGCCATGTTTGATTTCTTTGAGTGAGATGACATGCCTCAAAGTAACATTTATAGCACGATTATGCTTTTATTGTTTGAAAAATGATCTATGTGGATCTACACACATCAAAGTCATAGAAGGACATAGCCCCCATATTAGTCAGCTATCTCATTGCTGGGACAAATTATGCTAAACCCATAATTTAAAGGAGAGATTTATTTGGCTCATGGTTTCAGAGAATCCAGTCCATGGTCTACAGGCTCCAAGATAGGAACCTCATGGCAGAAGGACACCCCAAAACTGCTTAGTTCACAAGAGTCCAGAAGAAGAGCAGGGGAGCAGTGCCAGAGAGGTAGGAGTCACAAGCCATGTATAGTCATACCTCCACGACCCCTCCAGACATACCCAGAGGTATGTTTTACTAATCTCCTAGGTGTTTCCTAATCCATTTACATGGATACGTCACAATTAATGGTCACCAAATGTGGTAAATCTCTGAAAATGGGATTACAGTAAGTTCTACTTCATCTTCTTAGCTGATGTGCATTTCCTATGATTTTGCAATAAATAGAAACCACATACATCGTAAATAAAAGAGGAAAAAAAATTAAACATGACAAAATTAGGCAGCAGCTGATGGGTTATGCTGCACTAAGAGCCCTTTCGGAAGGCAAGGTGAGAGCTGGTGGAGTGGGCATAATATAAGTTCTGCAGTCTCACGGGAGGAGGTGAAGTGTTTCTCTCCAGCCATCACCATGAAATTGGGCTCTGATGCCTGTCCCTCTTGGAAGCAAAAGGTGAGTAGTTGTGCCCAAGTCAAATGGTATTTCTGGTAGGTGAATGGGAAGTGGAAAGTGGGACAATGAAATGGGGTCAGAGACTATGTCTGGCTGCCTGATTCTTTACCATTTTCCTTCCGGGTGAGCCAGTACCTGCTCTATGCAAAGCAGCTCGGATTCAGAGTGAAGAACCCATGGCAATTTCCCAACGTATTTATAACTACAGCTTCTCATCCACTCAACGAAGTACAGATGATCCTTGACTCACTATGGTTTAACTTCAGATTTAAGAAAAAAAATGTTTTCGATGATGTGAAAGCCATACAGCCATTCTGTTTATCACTTTCAGTCCAGAATTCAATATAGTACATAAACTATTCAGCATTATGTTATAACATAAACTTATTGTTCGATGATTTTGCCCAACCATAGGCTAATGTAAGTGTTCTGAGCACATTTAGTGTAGGGTGCTTGGCAGGTTAGGTGTGTTAAATGTATGGTTGATTTATGATATACCAACCTGTAATGGGTTTATCAGATGTAATACCAGTGTAAGTTGAGGAGCATCTGTATTTGGATGCAAAAGTATGTGGGGCAGCCTTGAATAAGCTCAACTGGATATGAAACAATGAAATCACCTGGCTTTTCAGCTGTGATTAGCAGTGACTTGCAGGTGAAACATCTTGTTCATCCGAGTAGACCGTGTTTCAACCCTTTGGCTGAGAGTGGATGGCAAACCCAGCAGCTTTCGTCTGGAGGGATGGGTGAAGACGGCAGAGAGAGCTATCTCCAAGGAAGCATGAGAACTGTAGGGGAACTTTCTCAAACTTTTACATGCAGAACCATGAAGGCGTCAGCAGTGAGGCTGACCCAAAGGACTGGCTGAGGCCCAATGGTCCCGTGTGTAACTCAGTGCAGTGACTGGTTCAAAGCTGGTCATCTGATGCAAATTGGGCAAATGAGAGGCAAGAGGACATTCTCTAGAAGCCCCTTGGAAGCATGATTTGTAGGTATTCCAGGAAACACGGGCAGACATGTTGTCTTTCCTTGCTGACTATGAAAGTTGGGAGTTGCTGGCAGCCATTTTTGTGCCCAGTGACAAGACCCAGATGAGGGTGAAGAAGATGTGGGAAGAAGGCAGAGTCCCGTGGTGCTTTGTTTAAATGACAAAGCTTCAGCAGAGCTTGGATTTTTAATGTACCTTTCCTTTACTGTTCAAACCAGCATGAACGGGGCCTTCTGTTACCTGGAATCACAAGATTTTTATCTGAAATGGGTACCTTCCTTGGGAGTGCCAAGGTATGTTAGTTACTTTTCTCTCTTTGCTGAGACAAAATACCCAACACCAAAAGTTAAAGGGGAAAGGGGTTTATTTTGCTTATAGTCTGTAGAGGTTTCAGCCTGTAACTGGCTGGCTCCAAGGGAGGGTGGCAGAGGGGCAACAGCTCATAGCAGCAGAAGCAGCAAAGGCAACAAGAGCAACCTTCACTGCCTCTTTTCTCCTATCTAGACTCCTGGGATTAGGGTGGTGACAAGCCACTCTGTCATGTGCAGTGGTTTAGTAATCACAGGCCTTTAATCCCCACACATTCCAGATTCAGCTACCTCTGACCGAATGAGGCTTTGTGGGAACATCCAGACCCAAACTATAACAGCAAGCAAAAGTCCAGGAGCTATTTCAACTAGTCCTACTTCCCTATCTCCAGCCCTCCTATGAGATCAAGATCAGACGCCCTTCATTTTTATATATTTGTACTAAAAGCAACGGGACTGGTCATGTTGACAACAAAGATTTGAAATCAAGATTGACCGCTTTTCTAAATCTCGCCTTTTGGGAGCATTCTCTCTTCCAGGCAGAACCGAAAGTGACTTTCTCAACAGATGTTGTGAACTAAGCGCATGTATGAACAAAGGAAAAATAGGCACACGTTTTCCCGCCAGATAATTTGAAAATATATATTTGAAACCCTGCTGGGTGACACACTAGAGTATCTGTCATGCTTTAAACACCTTAAGTGTCACCCTCTTCATGCAATTACATGATTATGTCTAACTTTTAAAGCTTTTCCAAACATCACCTAACAACAGTTGCCCAGGTGCCAGGGAATTCACACCACTGTGAAGCTGTATGGACCGGGGTTGGTGCCAGACAACTTGCAGAGCGAACCCCAACTGCAGCTGCGTTCTTGACATAAAACTTTCGCAGAACGAGGTTGTCCCACAAGATCCACAGCGACATCAGCATTTCAGCAGGCTCTCCAGAAAATAATTTTGTTGTGACCGTTGTTTAATTTATACTGACAATAAATAGAAGTAATGCTTGACCTTGGATGAGAGTCTTAGCTATCAGGATATTTACAAACATCGTTTGATATAAACACAATTAAGTATTTACAAAGTGTCCAAAAATTTCTCTTCCTACAACCCTTCCAAGGGGGCAATTTGGAATACATATGCCAAGCTTTAGAAAGTATAGTCCTGTGCCACCTAATTACGTTTAAGTCAAGGAAGGTCTATGAATGGAACGGTGGGCTTACAAGATTATAAGGGAGCTGGGAAAGTCCTGTTGCATAGCAACATCATAGCACAACACTCAACTCATTTGTGCCAGTGCTGGTGTGAACAAGCCCACTGTGCTGCCAGTTGTATAAAAGTCAAGTACACATGGTTATCTACAGTTCATAAGACTTGATCATTAATTCTCAAGTATTTTACACACACACACACACACACACACACACCGCATAGCCTAGATGTGTGGTAGGCTGTACTATCTAGATTTGTGCAAGCATGAAAAGGAACAGCGCAGTATGGGTTGATCTGAAAATGGAGTTAATAATTCC